ATCGACGCGCCGCGTCCACAGTGGGGTGAAAGGCCACGTGACATCACCGACTATCTCTCCAGAATGCAGCGGACACCCCGAGGATCTTCTCGTTCCCCTTCACTCAGCAGCTACGTGGTGCCACACCGTCCTCAGTAGACTGGCCCAAGCCGGGGCTGGTCGCCTAGCCCGTATCAGGAAAACTAAGGGCAACAACCGATAAAGGTGCGGTTTCTGCACGACGAACTGCCGAAGATGCTCCGCCGCCGACAACGACGCCACGACGAAACTTCAAGAACCCGTCGTCACCTCAACGTAGCCTTGATGTTAAAACTTCGCGACCAGAACAAGTCCTGATTACGCAACGTCGAAACAGGGGTGCAAAGCACCGTAGCCGTGATCCGACGGCACGACCTGACCACAACGCCAGGCGATAAACTAGCGACCTCGACATTCTCATCGACGGTCACAGCGTCACAGCTCTCGCCGACACCGGAGGCGACTATTCCGTCATCAGTGAAACTTTCGCGGCGAAGTTGAAGAAAGTTAGTTCCGCTTGAGAAGGCCCTGAAATACGTACAGCCGGAGGTCACCTAGTGACACCAGCGGGAATCTGCGCAGCTAGAGTGACCATTAACAGCCAAATTTATCCAGACAGCTTTGTCGTATTGCAGCATTGCTCGAGAGATGTCATTCTTGGATTGAACTTCTTGAGCCTTCATGGTTCGGTCATTGACCTGAGAGCAAAGTCGAAAACACTATCCACAGCAAATGCACTGCCGCCGCACACGTTGTCAGGAAGCCACGTCTTGAATGTGCTGGAAGACCAAGTCACCGTTTTTCCTCACTCCAGCGTCAGCATTTCCGTCAGCACTCAAGAATCAAAAGACATGCGAGGCGTCGTTGAAGGCGACCAACACCTGTTGCTCAACCGCGAAATTTGAGTCGCCAGAGGAATAGCCGAGCTGCGATGAGGGAACGCAATAGTGATGCTCACGGACTTCAGCAACGAGTACGAGCACGTGAGCAAAGGTACGGCGGTTGCCTACATCGAAGAGATACTGGAAGCCAGCAACGCTGTCGCTCTGACCGATTCCGCTGAATGTACTCCGACGACTGAAATCCTTCAAGCAGCTTTCGACGTTCCTCCGAGCCTTCCAACGCATAAACATCAGCAGCTCGAAAACCTGCTCCTGAAATACAAGAACTGCTTTTTGTCGTCATCGGGAATTCGACACACGCATATAACGAAACATCGAATCGTAATAGAAGAAATTGCCAGGCCACTCCATCAAAGTCCGCACAGCGTTTCGACGCGAGAACGCGAAGCCATAAGAAAACAAATCGACCAAACGCTCCGCGACGACGTTATCTCGCCTTCAAAGAGTCCATTGGCATCACCAGTGGTGTTAGTGAAGAAAAAGAATGAAACACTACGCTTCTGCATTTACTATCGCCGGCTCAACAAAATAACGAACGTATACCTTCTCCCCCAATCAGACGACGCCCTTGATCAACTCCACAACGCCAAATACTTTTCAGGGATAGGACCTCGGACAGGCTATTGGCAGATCGAAGTAGACGAGAGAGACCGTGAAAAGACTGCGTTTATAACACCAGACGGCCTTTTCGAGTTCAAGGTCATGCCCTTCGGTATTTGCTCGGCGCCTGCAACTTTTCAACACGTTATGGACACAGTACTGACAGGATTGAAGTGGCAGACTTGTCTCGTTTGCTTGGACGACGTCGTCGTGTTTTCCTCAAGCTTCGAAGGGCATCTTCAGTGCCTTGAAGCTGTACTTCAAGCCATCAAGACATCTGGACTCATCCTCAAGCCAGAAAAGTGCCGTTTTGCGTACGAGTTACTTTTGCTTTTGGACCACGTGATAAGCCAGTCCAAAGTGAGACCTGATCTGCAGAGGACAGTCGCCATCGCTGCAATTCCGCCACCCGCCCACAAGAAGGCCGTTTGTCGATTTCTCAGCCTGTGCGCCTATTACAGACGCTTGGTCAGAAACTTAGCCCACATCGCCGAGCCACTCACTAACCTTACGAGAACTGACGTCGAGTTCAAGTAGAAAGCCCCACAGGAGGAAGCGTTTGGGGAACTAAAACGACGCCTGCAGATGTCTCTGATATTCGCGCATTTCGACAAAAACACTGAAACAGAAGTGCACACTCACGCAAGCAGCGAAGGACTTAGCGCCATTTTTGTGCAGAGAACTGAAGGACTGAAAAGGGTGATTAGTTACGCTAGCCGGTCACTATCAAAGGCAGAAAGCAATTATTCCACAAAAGAAATGGAGTGCCTTGCCATCATCTGGGTGACGTCTAAATTTCATCCTTACCTTTATGGCAGGCCCTTCGAAGTTGTGAGTGACCACCACGCCTTGTGTAAGCTAGCTAACTTGAAGGAAGCTTCAGGTCGCCTTGCCCGATGGAGCCTGAGACTTCAAGAATACGACATTACCGTCATTTACAAGTCCGGCCGGGAAAACTCCGACGCTGACTGCCTGTAGCGAGCCCCCGTCGACTCACCACCGCCCGAAGACCTCAATGGCGAGTGCTTCTTGGGAACGATAACTGCCGACGACTTCGCTGAACGCCAGTGGGCTGTCCCGGAACTTAGGAGCCTAATCGAATACCTCGAGGGAAGGACCTCTGTTGTTCCGAAGGTATTCAAACGGCACTTACGTTTTCGCTGGGAAACGGCCTTCTTCAAAAGAAGAACTTCTCGCCGCTTCGAGCCAAGTACCTTCTTGTAGTGCCTCCATCTCTGCGACCAGAACTCCTCCAGGCCCTGTATGATGATCCAACGGCAGGACACCTTGGTGTTTCCCGCAAGCTCGCGGGGATAGAAGAAAGGTACTACGCCTCACCACTGACGTCTGACGTCGCTCATTACGTGAGGACATTCCGAGACTGTCAGTGACACAAGACACTGCCGACAAGACCATCAGGCTTTCTTCAGCCTATTGAAGCACCTCGCCTACCGTTTCAACAAATCGGGATGAACCTACCGAGGCCGTTCCGACGTCAAATTCGGGAAACAAATGGATCATCGTAGCTACTGACTCCCTCACCCACTACGCCGAAACAAAGGTCCTACCCAAAGGTAGTGCCGAAGAGGCAGCCAACTTCTTCGTTCAGAACATCGTCCTTCGTCATAGCGCCCCAGACGTTGTCATCAGACTCATCACCGATAGAGATACGGCCTTTACTTATAATTTGAGTTAAGGGATCTTGAGACATAAGCCAAACAAGCCGCCGCCACACCACCGTTTACCACCCACAGACACATGGTCTCACCGAGTGAGTAAACAATTAGACAATCGCCAACATGCTGGCCATGTACGTCGACGTCAATTACAAGACGTGGGACGCCATTCTTCCGTACGTGACCTTAGCATACAACATGGCCGTGCAGGAGACGACGCATATGCAACCGTAAAAATTGGTCTATGGAAGAAACCCGGCAACGACGCACGATGCCATGTTACCCAACGTCACCGACGAAAAAAACTGATGTGAGCGAGTACCTATAGCGAGCCGAAGAAGCCAGGCACATCGCCCGCCTCCGTATCAAGAATTGATTGATTGATATGTGGGGTTTAACGTCCCAAAACCACTATATGATTATGAGAGACGCCGTAGTGGAGGGCTCCGGAAATTTAGACCACCTGGGGTTCTTTAACGTGCACCCAAATCTGAGCACACGGGCCTACAACATTTCCGCCTCCATCGGAAATGCAGCCGCCGCAGCCGGGATTCGAACCCGCGCCCTGCGGGTCAGCAGCCGAGTGCCTTAGCCACTAGACCACCGCGGCGGGGCTCCGTATCAAGAATCAACAAACGAGCGACAGCCGCCGTTACAATCTTCGACGATGCTTCGTGGAATACCAGCCCGGTGAACGTGTTTGGGTATCGACACCGATACGCCGACGTGGACTCACCGAAAAACTTCTGCGATGGTACACTGGACCATACAGGATAGTACGACGTCTCGGCCCACTCAACTACGAGGTTGTCCCCAACGCCATTACAAACTCTCAACAGCGAAGATTGTGACGTGAAGTTGTCCATGTCATGCGCCTCAAGCCGTTTCATGAACGTTAACAAACTGAAAGAGTGTATTTTGTTGTTATTATTATTGCTGCATCGTACTTTATTATTTGCAGCCCCACCGCGGTGGTCTAGTGGCTAAGGCACTCGGCTGCTGATTCGCAGGTCACGGGCTCGAATCCCGGCTGCGGCGGCTGCATTCCCGATGGAGGCGGAAATGCAGTAGGCCCGTGTGCTCAGATTTGGGTGCACGTTAAAGAACCCCAGGTGGTCAAAATTTCCGGAGCCCTCCACTACGGTGTCTCTCATAATCATATGGTGGTTTTGAGACGTTAAACACCACATATCAAATCTACTTTATTATTTGCACTTTCTTATAATAATATTGCACTTTCATCTTCTATTAAAGCATCAGGACGATGCCTTTTTCGGAGGGGGGCAACGCCACTTTCCTTCAAGTTTCCTTATCACCCCGCTACGCTGTACACGATTCTCAGCGCAAACCACGCCTATGGTGTTCGAGAAGCTTCAGGACTGCAGTATATCCTTTTGTTGAGATTACACCCACTTCGTGAGCATTTAAGATTATTCTGGAATGTACGTCACTGCTAGCGAGAACGCTAGAATGTTCAATGGCGAGTGTATAAATGCCGAAATGCTCCGCCGCTTGCCAGTTGATCGACGGCCAACGCTGCATTCGCCGCTATCAGTGCAAGTGTGCTACTGTAACCAGACTTTCCGTTTACCGGGCACAGGTTCGTCCAAATAAACAGTTTGATCTGACCATCCAGTTTTCTGCTTTCAGCCACGTCACGACCCCGTGACAATATTCAGATATTACAGCACTACAATAAGCTGGAGCCAATTGAGTGCAAAGTCTTCCTGTTCGCCTAAATTCCACATAAATGCCTAAATGGCACCAAGATAAAAAATTGCGTGAATGAATAATAATTTACAAAATCAGATAAGAACTCATGTTTATTTTCGGCACGCATGTCACAAAGTGAAGCATATAGGTTGCAATTGGAATTTCCATTTTAGATCCAAACTTTAAGTCATATCGGCCTTCAGAGAGATTGTGATAATGAAGGAGGTGTGATGGTTCGACTAAATGCCGGGGGCCTCATAGTATGGCCCCGTTGGTCGCAGGTCCGGTTCCTGCAACAAAGATAGTCAAGTCATCATTCCGCTGCGGGAGATCAAATGCCTGTATGACATCGGCAGGCAAAACGAATAGTCCTCTTCTTGAGCAATAATCAATGGCTTGTAATGTGGAGTTTAAATGAACAAGTATTGGTCATTTGCGTGGGGTTTGGTGGGACTCAAGTTAAGCGGCTTCCCGCTTAGCAACCAACTCTGCTGCTGTTGAAGGTGAGTTATAGTTTTTCTTGCACTATACCGGGATTATATCTATAATTGAGAGATTACATGAGGTGCAGTTTCAGCGCACGTAGCGAAAGACTCATCAGTGTATACGTGTATGGAGTCGTTCTACCGGTCAGTCATGTATGCCAAGTTGGGTAGGTTGAGACCAGCACTAGGGAAACGCGATTTCTTCGAAATCTCATGCAATGTTACACTTTCACAAATCATGCTCTCTAGCTTTAGCACTACTGCGCCTTCTGATCAAACATTATGTACATGTGTGTTAGAGAATAGAAGAGTAGCAACAGAATATGCAAGGTGCCATAGCAGGCTTTCAGTGTGCCTTGTTATTTACCGTAATTTTATTTTCCATCTTACCAGATGATTTTTTATCAGGGATAGGCGTTAATCTTATAAATAGAATTGAAAAGAGAAAGGCCCGCAAAGAAAACACCAAAGAATACACTAAAGAGCAATGTGTACACATAAGTAAACTTAAAACACGTTATAACAATACTCAGTGTGAAGTATTTTGTCTAGGAATTGAAATCTAGTTTATTTTATTCTTGTTGGACGTGATCTTCCCACGGGAACGTGGAGAAAGAATGTAATTCCCAGGCATATGACATGTTCTTTACTTACCAGCATCATGCTTGCAACCTGGATAACATCCATCCAGCTGGCAAATGATGCCATTCAGGCACATCATTGCCTGGTATTTTAGGGCATGGAACCTTTTGTGTTCACTAAAGTACAGCTGCTGTTGTCTTGTAGGTCGGCATAGAGCTTGCGCGGTGCCGCCAGTGAAGCCCCAACAGTTAGTAAGTGGGGCTCCTTCAGCGTTAATGGCCTGAAAAAAACATGATAATGGAAACAAGTACACCAAAAGCTCAAAAATGCAACTTCTATTTCGCTGTTATTGCTTCTTACCTTTGAAAAGTTCTCCAGCGTGTCGATGGTAAGCCAGCTGTAGTTATTTACGTCGTCCAAGAGGTGGAAGAACTTCTCATCGACACGTCTCAATACCTCTGTCGTCAACGACGATATCGCCGATCGATGTCGGCCGAAGAAGTCTTCAAGATCTTTCAGTCGGTTCGGATACGCCAGCCGCCGAAGGGTAATACAACGTGCTTCTTCTCCGAATATTAGCACTCTTTAAACTATCACAACTGTTTCAGGAATGCGCAAAGCGACCCGAAGCTTCCCTATGTATTTTTCGAAACGAAATTATGTTCGAAACAAGCCATCGTCCATGGTGTCGATGTTGAGCAGGCCACGGGAGGAAAGTGGATCACGTTTTCTCTAGTTCAACCCCTCGTATACTAGGAGATCTATCTCTGACCACTTCAGCTCAAAGAGAAGCAACGGGTCGTGTAATATACTTCGTGGCATTGCGCTAAGGGCAACATACCGCCTATATTGCCGCTGGTAGCACGTGAAAGGCACACGGTTGAACAGCGGTGCTGCTAAAAACCTGCATACTCAATCGCTTGACTTGGCTTCACCCTCACCCTTTCGGCGGCGACACCCTCTCTCCCTTTCGGGGGGAGGAGGATGTCGAGCAATCCGTCATGCATTCGAACCACTGACGACAAGTCACGAAAGAAAAACGATTATTTGTTGCTACTAAGCACTTGCGACCTATTAAAAATGTCTTTTGCAATATTATTTTCGCAGTGACTTCATTTTTATTCGGCACGTGACGCAACAAAGCCTCTGGTCGATTGACAGTAACTTCCACTGCTTTAACCTTGATCAACAAGCAGCGTAGCAATGCGATCCGCTGCAGCGATCGGGACGTCGCTCTTTTATCGGATCGCGCTCCGCTGCCCTCTCCACTTGCCCGCTCGCTCGTAAATCCGCCCAGCTATACCTGTCTATTACGGATTTCGTCCCCGCAGCGGAGCGTGGGGAGCGGACCAGCGTGCGAGCATTCTCCAGGCAAAGCCTCTTCTCGATCGACAGTAGCTTCAATCATCTTCAACAGGTGGCGCAGCAATGCGCTCTGCTGTGTCCGCTGAAACCATAGAATCTCCTGAAATTTACTAGAGGGGACTCTGGCGCGGCGATCGTTAAGCGACCATGGGAATGATGGGTAGTACACGCATTTACTTAGTCTTCGTATTTGTGGGCGGCAAATCGCACTTGTGGCTTTGTTTATTTCTCTGCTTTGGTTTCGTTTCGAAGGAAAGAACGAACTCTTTTGAAGTTCGTGACCCAATTTTAAATGGTAAGCCTAAAAGGATAAGGTGGTGAAACGCAACCGCCCAACATTTCCCACTTTTTGTTTTATGAGAAAACAGCTCCAAGCCACATAAACACACATGGAGCCAGCAGGACGAATATTAAACAAATTCATGTGCTACCCTTCATTCCCCTGCTAGCTGAAGTGCCGTGCGTTGCAGCTATTACTGACACTAGTGCTAAAGTTTCCTCTATTGTGTATTTGGGAAAGTCTATGGCTGAAACAAGTGGAGAATTCATCTGGATGTTATTCTTTCTTTTGTCATGCACTCCACTGGCCCCTTCGCTACTATATTCTGTCCGCTGGCACGCACAGCCTCTCAGCTATTACTCTATAAAAATATGGGTCCTTGCTAACCACGCCATTTTATCAAATTTTAAAACCTTTTCAGCTTCCCTTTAACGCGTAATTGCAAGGAAAGTGGTGATATAAACCACTATTTGCTTAAGCGTCGTGAGCTTAAGTAGGAACGACAATGTTTATTTGAGGAACTGCAACGTTTGGGTTCGCCATGCGGCAGCGTGACTGATATTGTGTTTCAGCGTGGTCACTGACTCATCAGGAAGCAAGTGTCGCAACTTCTCTTGAAATTTTTGAATGCTACAGATCTCGAATGTGACTGGTGATGAGTGACAATTATGTTTGGGGTATTGTGCAGAGAGGTAGGGGCACCGGCACAATACTGCATGTGGAATAGCACAGAGGCAGCCGGCTTCCGCATGGCTAACGGCGCGCTACGTGCCACCTTTTAAAGGCAAGCCCATGCGCAGTTAAAAACAAACAAGCAAAATGACGTTATTTACAATTAGCAAAGATGAAACCGGGCGGGGCAATTACCTGCAAATTATGCAAGGCTAGATCGGCTGGCTACCTTCAACATCCTAATCCTAATTCTAAAAGAAGCATGGGCCTAGTGATGTCGAAAATCAGTCGATACATGTTTTTGTTTGGCCTATGAATTGTTTATAATAGACAAAACACTCTAGAAGGCAGAAAACGTGAGATGCGTCATAACAAAAGCCACTTTTTTATTTTGGGGCTGAAATATCAGGCGCTGTTATATGGAGGAAATGCACGTACAAATATATATTATATGCACCGTGATTTGTTACACTGATGGCAGCCTGAGTGGACTGATTTTGGCACTTGAGAATATGTAACTGCGTAGTCCAATTTTTTAGAATGTTTTAAGTCCACTATTTGTGGATTTCAGACCACTTTTGGCGTTTACTTTGCTTGAGGATAGTATGATACTTTGGCTGAGTCCAACGTGCTCTCGCTACAGAGGCTGCATGTGTGAAAACAAGGTTAACAGGCTGAGGTGTGCAAGTCTTTTCTGGTGCCTCTGCTGTGCGTTCAACGGCGTTAGCATTCACAACTGCTTAATCAAAAAATGAATCATATACTTTTAGTAAGCTAAAAATTATTTCAAGAAAGTACAGTTCTTGTGCTAGTTGAACTCATATTTAAATCAGCAAAACTTGAGTTTATTCTAATTGGGGCTTACTGTTCGGCATCTTGAACGCACAAAAAGGGACGACGACAGAGGGAGGTACGATGACAAGGACCTGTGTAGCTGTACCTTCCTCTTTCCTCGTCTTTCATTGCGATAGCAATTACAGATATGCTCGGCTGGATTTTACCGCCGGCGTCAGCGTCACTCACCGTATATGTATACATATATATATTTGTGAAAACGCAAGAAACAAAACAATCGAGGAAAAGACTTCAGCACACGGAATCAAGCTAGTAACCTCTACGCAGTAAGTGTAAGGTGTTAACCACTGAGCCACCGAGGAATATGACCTTGAACGAGCAAACGAGAAGCTACTTATATCTATTACTTACCGCTGGTGATGGCCATCTTGGAGGGAAATTATCGTGTTTTCAGCTTTAACAGCAAGATGGTGCAATGAGCACGCAGCGGCGCATGGTGGCGCGAGCCCTCATCTCCCACGCGTACTTTGCCTCGCGGAGAGGAGTGGGTGGTCGTAAAGCGCCTGAACGCCCATTTGTGCGCCCATATCTCGCGGTTACGAGCATCTTATGTCTTGGTGGTCTTTAAGCTTTCACCGGAACGATTCTGCTCTAGTTACCGGGCGCACAAAGGTCACTGCAATCGTTGAACAGTCTCCGTTTGCGAAAAGACCGTGCTTTTCAGACACAGCAAAGTAACAACTGAGACACTTATTTGCGTTCATCTGTAGCTATTAGTAAGCTTCGTGCGCTATTTGTGCGTGAGAAACGCGGGGCACGTTTCGATCTGCTTGCCACGTTGCGCGTGACCTTCGAATTTGTTGCTATTGCGTTCATTGCTTCGCCTTTGCGCCAAAGCTATAACTTTTTGTGTGTGGTCAAGATTTGGATGATCTATTCATAAGCTTAGAAGTGGAGTGCCTGATTATACAGAATGCCAGCTATCCAGCGTTTTTAGGTGACTGCTCCTGAAAAGATTCCTGTCTGCAGGCATCTCGGACAACGTGACTATTACATGGCCGTTACGTAACATAATTTTATCGTGAAAGTAAGTGCGTTCGCCTGAGTATGAACTCTAGAATAATATATAATGGTTAACACTGTTGAACACTATGAAAAAAAAAACTTAACGTATGCTCATCATGTGCTCGGATTCAGAAGGTATTGTCTATGTACCGTTTGTAGTAAAGTGGTGTTAAAGCCTAACTGCTTGAAAACTTGCAAAGTTGAGGCCCATTTTCAGCCCCATAAATGATGAAATAGTGAAATTTTACTTTAAAATGGTAGCTTACTATAATGACATTTTATTTTAGGTAATGTAACTAATGTAACGCCATCAATGGAACAGTCATATTTCGAAGGCTAATATTCCTAAAGAAGAGCTCAGATTGCATCCGCATGGTAAATGCTTGTGTGAAGGTTACGAATACATAATGTAACCGAAAAAAATCCACCATGGATAATAAGTCTGCAACTTTGCGTAAAAAAGAGCTGGGAAATTCAATAATGAGGAGCGAGTTCCACAGAATATGGCTAATGACTGCGTCAACAAAAACAGGAAATATTGTTCACCTATAGAAACAATAGACACTGTTGGTTTCTCCGGGGTTTCCTGCCTTGTGCGTTTTCGGTGTCGAATGGAACCTTCTTGTGTGCGCAAGAACGTCGTATATTTCTCTTTTATTATTCTTTCTACAACACGTTGTTAGATTTTTTTTAATGTGTATATATACAGGGTACCTCATACCTCTAGCTAGAGGATAAAAATATCCCAACCCACGCAATGACAACGCAATCAATTGCATGTTGCTGACTTGCCTGGAGTGAGTCAGACTAACATATATATATATATATATATATATATATATATATATATATATATATATATATATATATATATATATATATATATATATTGAATGAACTTGCAGAGATAGCACATTTGATATGGAAATTGTATTTACTAACGTTTCGGCCGTGGCATGGTCTTCGTCAGAGTAAGTCAGAGTGTATATATATATATATATATATATATATATATATATATATATATATATATATATATATATATATATATATATATATATATATATATATATATATATTGTTACGGTGAGATGCCTTTATTTATGAGATGATGGATGCGAGAGTCCAGGGATCTGGTAAAGCATCCCTCATGCCCACCTCGTTCTTCTCGTCTTCCACCCGTACCCTCAGTATCTTAGAGCAATTCCCCCTTTGCAGACGATGCCCACCGGGCGAGTTAGGCTTCGTTGCGATGATGATAGCGCTTTAAACGGGCGACATGAACGACGTTGATCTTGCTTGAGCGGCGGCCAGTTGACAGCAGCCGAGATATCACGTATGTGACATCGCTGAGACGTTTCAGGACAACAAACGGACCAGCGTAGTTGGCCAGAAACTTTTGGCAGAGGCCTCGCTTGTGAAGCGGCGTCCAAAGCCACAGCAAAACCCCTTTCTCAAACAAAACGTGCCGGTGACTTCTGTCGTAACGGTTCTTAGAGCGCTTCTGGGAGACTAAAGTTCGAAGACAGGCGATGCGCCGGGCCTCTTCTGCACGGCAAATGGTTTCGGCGAGAGTGGGTTTATCAGTCTCGGAAAAAGGAAAAATAGTGTCAAAAGCTGTGTGGGGTTGGCGTGCGTAGAGCAGATAAAATGAACTGTATCTC